CTACGCACACACACACACACACACGTTATTTGAACGCACACCGAATCATTCCCACAGTATTATGTTTTCAATGTGTGTATGTAAATGTGGATGTGCGTGTAGGTAGTCGAGAACGTGGAAATCACCACTTCAACTGCTCAAGTCCAAAAGGTTAAGACCGATGTCTACTGTCTCAATAATGCTTATGTGGAAAGTGAGGAGAAGGTAATTTTTAATATGAATCAGTTAATCGGACGATGATTTCATTGTTGGGCTTATAAGGCAACGCGAAACCTCGTTCCACACACTATCCCATATGGTGGTGCTTTTCATTCAAATGCTGTTAACCGTCCCAGAGACTAATTCAAATGCTTATGCTTCGCATCCAACACCAGAAGATTTATCCCAATAGTGGTTTGTCTAAAAGTAAAATTGGAGGGTGAAATTGTGGTCTAGTCCAACCTTCGATCGTCGATGTAGTGTGACATTTAAGCAAAATTTGACTGATTGCCAAAGTTTTTACCTTGGTATTTATTCCCAACCTGTATCATGCCTGGCTGTAAGAGGCGTTATCTTAAGAAAGAATTAACTTTCTTATCAATATCGGAAGCGTCTTTTTGAAATAAGGCTGCCGGACTCTTCTAAATCGTCGTACCTTTATGGTTTTGGTGTAGAAAATGCACAGAATCTTTTGCTGAAAAATGGCATACCAAGCTCGCTAACACTTAGCATTGTATGAATATGCTCTCTATTTTTTTTCTAAGATTTGACATTCCAGAGGACTATGACAATTTCTTCACCCCTACCGAGCGCAGTCTTGTAGTGGACTACGTGCTGAAGCGAACGGGCACGTGTGTTTGCACTGGTCCGAGCGCTTCCACACCCATTGAAGGAGGAGACCGCGAATCACCGCATTACGTGACCGAACAAGATGTGGAGTATGAGCGAAAAACTCGTGCGAGACCTTGCGATATCCAATTGGCAGAACATGACAAAGTTGATCTGGGCATTGATCACCTCATTTCCGAAAAGGTCTTCATTGCCGCTTTTCCGTTGCACGATGTGAGTAGGTGGTACGCTTGTTTGAATCGTTCAGTGGTTTTTGCTGTTTATTCCACTTTCTGTTTCCTATTTTCTGTTCCTCCAGCCGTCTAAGGAGCTGATTGAATTATTGAAACAGAGGGAAGTCGAGGCGCCTGGATCGAGCAGAACAAAGGTTGGAATTGCCTGCTGGACTTTTACCTAAATAAGCTGGGTTTCATTGAAAAAACTAGACTGTAGGACATTCTTTTATGCTAGTGGTGAATGGATGCGCTGCAAGGATACTTGGGGCTTCTTTTGGCATCACAATCCACCTAATTAATTTGCTTGGGTCCACGTGTCATTTGTGCCGATCGCAAATGTGGAATCGGGACACTTAGTTCCCCTTTCAGAGAAGGTTATGCTCCTTTGCGATCATAGTTTAGCGCCTGCCGTACCCATTAAAATACGTCTATAGTGGGCGTATTTAAGCATGGATACTTTTTTCTGTCATGTGAATGACACCTAAATATGAGTCAAGACACTCAATAGCGGATGGCTATTAATCTTCCAATTTGTTTTTGCTAAGTACTGCTATGAATTTTCATGGTAGAGCGTCTTCTCTTGGAACGTCTTCCCATAAAAGCTAATCTCCTGTTGCCTTATTTAACTGGAAGAGGAAAAACCGACTACCTTAGTCGGCTTAATGTAGTGTTTACTTTTTGGTTAATTTTTTCCCACTTTCGAGTGGTGTTTGCTATGCCTTTACTTTCGTCTACCCAGACTGAGGAGATGGAGGTCAACATGCGGACCCTATTGAGCGATCAATGGGGCACCTTGAGAAGGATGGTCAAGTACCAACCACTAGACTACATTCGGTACGTTCCTTTCAAGCCAAACTTGCACTCCAACTTCTTATCGATGATTAGTTTATAAGAAATACTACTTGTCAGATTATAAGTAGGGCATGGTGCTAAGGTCAACCACTTTATAAAGTAGGTTTTCCAACAATCTACCGTCAGCCATTGAACTCTCTGATGCCCGGCTACCGTTTTATTAACTGTGCTGCCTTTTTTATGGATTGGTATAGCCGTATTACTTCCAACGCTAATGCCATACATCCAACACTGGTCTGAAAGTGCATTAAGCGACCGTTAGCAGTATTAGATTTGTTCCATGTTCTGTCACTATGACTAAGTGGGGAGGTAAGGTACATGTTTTTTTAATAAACAACTGACTATCCGCAGCCACGTGTACAAATCGTGTCTACCATAAAGGTTGTCACGGAAGAACTCTAGTTCCCATATGCATATTTTTCTGACTCTCACCTACTTACTGACAAAACTTACACGTAAATTGCACTGTTGGGACTATGTTACTCATTGTCGGGGTGTAACATCCAAGGTATACTCATATCAGGAATTAACTTATTGCCAAAAATATTTTCTTAATTTAAATTATGGTGTAGGCCTTACACCGAATAATAATTGGCGTTTCTCTTCCTAGACTTTACTTTGGCGAATCTGTTGCCTTCTACTTTGCGTGGCTGGGTTTATACACCTACTGGCTCATCCCCGTGAGTATATTTGGGCTCCTCGTCTTCTGCCTTTCTGCTATTGACATCTCCGACGACCGAATCGTGTACGTAGCTACTTTTATGCATATCGGTTTTTCAAAGTAAAAACTTGCCGCTGGTCAATTGGCAGTAGTTTTGAAGTACTAACGTTTGGATTACTTGTACACAGAGAAGACGTTTGCATTCACGGGTCCGAGTTCGTGATGTGCCCCACATGCAACCAACGCCGTTGCAAGTTCTGGTTATTGAATGCCTCCTGTTTTGCTACGAAGATGACGCATCTAGTAGACAATATCGGCACAGTCCTTTATGCTGTTTTCATGGCCATTTGGGGTGAGTTGTCTGCTTGGCTGTTTTCCTTGATTTTTCCGAGCAACAATTTGAGGTGCGTTGATTTACGACAGCAACGCTTTTCATGGAGAACTGGAAGCGTTACCAGAATGTCTTGGGACACCGATGGAATGTGCAATATCTTGAGCCTGTGGATGAACCTCCACGACCGGAATTCCTTGCCTTACTCAAAAAAAGAGGCTATAAACCGACCATTAATTTAATCACAGGGGTGCGTTCATATTTGCATGCATTTAGGATCTCGCATTTGTGTGTTACGTAATGGGTTTTATTCGTTATTTTAGCGTGAAGAGCCCAGTATCCCTTTCTGGAGTCGCAAATTGCCCTGCACTGTGCTCTCCTTCAGCTCTGTTATACTGGGAGTATGTGGACTGGAATGAAAATCGCACACCTTATTTACTTATTTGATTTCAGCAACATTCTTTCCTTTCAGATGGTACTCTGCTTGGCTGCTCTCGCTGGTGTCATTTTCTACCGTCTCATTGTTAACACTCTTCTGCTGCAACACGATAACGCGTTCGTCAGCTCGATAGCAGGAATCATTACCACGGTGACAAGTTCCTGCATTAACTTGATCTGCATCTTCATTCTGAAATTGGTAAGCAGCTCTATATATAATCGAGTAGTCAAGTGAACTGTTTATTGTTTTGTTTTACGTTGGTGATTATTTAGGTATACGACAAAATCGCAGTTTTATTAACGGATATGGAGAATCACAGGACTCAATCGGAGTACGACGATAGCTTAACGTTGAAACTCTATCTTCTGCAATTTGTGAACTACTACTCCTCAATTTTCTACATCGCCTTCATTCAGGGAACCACTGCTGGTCTGCCTGGTGACAAGAGTGTTCCGATTCGTTCAACTGGCGTGGGTTTTTCTTCAACTTAAAGCAAAGTTCTTTTCATTTTCCATTGATCTTTGAATATTGTTTGGGAAATTTAGTGTGATAATGGAAATTGCCTCTTCCAACTTTTCATCCAATTGGCTATCATAATGGTTGGGAAACAACTTCTCAACTTCGTGATGGAGAATACTCTTCCGTAAGTTTTATATTGAATTATGTTATGGAACGAGCTTTGCGCAGTCAAGTCAGAAGATGTAGTTTGTCTGCCACTTCTCCACTTTCCACCTTCTTTATAGGCCAATTAAGCGATGTCTGGCAGTCTACTTCGCGCACAGACGAATATCAAGAGATCGAGCTGTATTGGCAGAAAGGGGATCTACGGGTCAGTACGGGTCAATGGAGTCCGGCGTTCCCGAAAAGACACCACTGACGAACACAAGCAGAAAGCCAATCATGTACAACTGCCGTCTCAATTACACTCTCCTCGACGGTGGTTCTCGACCTCTCTTTGAGGAGTATCTTGAAATGCGTATGTTTATCTACTTCTGTCGCACATACGATCCCCAGCGTCATTATTATTGCCGAAAGTAGCACTAACATTTGTAATATCACAATTGCGGGCGTCAAAGTTAGCATAGTATGTTTCCTGCCGTATCTTGTACGGATGCTGTTTTAGCGATGCTGAACTACTTGTAAATGTGTTCTTTCCAGCTTTAAATCCGCAAGTTAACTATTTGGCACGAAATCTAGACATTATGGATAAATTATTTTAGACCTGTTTGCTCCAATTTTGTTGTCACTGGTAGGAGTTTGGTTAACCCAAAATTGGACTACGTTGGTGTCCTGTTCGTGCTAACCTTTTGAAATTATGCGCCACACTCATGAACACTGGCCCTTATGTCTCCGCGTTCCTTGTGTTAAATGAAGCATTTGTTTTCCCCGAAACGACTTCATGGGCTGTAGAGCGGAAATGAGTTCACTTGAGTGGACGTTTTCAAGCGGCTTCAAGTATTCAATCAAATGTTGCACTGCTGATGATCTCACTGGATGGGTGTTGCGTCACCACAGAAGACTGTGCTCAAAGATCTCCATAGAAGGAGATATGTGTGGCCTTAAGCCACCACTCTGGGTTGCTGTGAGCTAATGGGTACCAAAATATCACATCGCAGTAGTAGTCCTCTTTGTAAAAGAACATTCCGAAATTGTGGATTAACTTGAATTCTTTTAATGAAACTTTTCCGGACCTTAAGGAAAACAACTACTTCTTAGACACTTGATACATTAATTCAAACACATTCACTGAATACTATGTGGTAGAGGTAAAGTATAGGTACTCACACAAATTGGAAGGACCAGGTGACCATTCCAACTGTTGGAATCACATTCTATAGAGGGAACCCTTGTGGAATTGCTGCTCGTTCCTTTCAGTGATTCAATACGGTTTCATCACAATGTTCGTTCCCGCCTTCCCCATCGCTCCGTTATTTGCTCTACTCAACAACATGTTTGAGTTGCGCACAGATGCAAAGAAGTTTTTGCGTCTCCTCCGACGACCGGTCGTAAAGCGAGAAAATGGAATTGGCATCTGGTTTGGCATTCTCACTGCCATCTCCGCTCTGGCTATTCGAACAAATGTAACGCAATTCTTGTAGTGGCACACCGTACTGATGGTTCAGTAAAAAAAATGGTGATTTTCACACAAGTATATGAATTTTAGGCTTGTTTGATCGCCTTCACTTCGGAGTATCTTACACGGATGACGTACATGTTCTACTACTCGCCTAACAGGAGCTTAGAAGGTTACCTTAACTTCACTCTCTCGTATATGAATGTCTCGCGATTTGAGTTGACACCGAAGGATGAAATGGTGGTGAAAAATTCAACTTACTGCCGGTGAGTGTGGCTGTAAAGGTTATCACTTTATCCCCCTTTTTGGTCGGACTAGAAGCCATATAGCATTTGAATTCGTTTCGAAATTCTTTGTGAAGCATTTGAGTTTGGCAGTCTTTCAATTTAGACCATTTTATTTTTACCTTTTGGCTTCTAGTCAACATGAGTGCCCTCTTCCAAACTCTTGAAAAAGAAGTAATCTAAGATCATCTAGTTTCGATTACTTCTTATACCATTCCTGATCAGAAGGTGAAGTCTGCTATTTGACGAGTTGTCACCCTGATCACTTGGACGCTGCTCAAGCGCAGGTATAGTAAAGTAAAATTTTATTTTATGCAGTTATCGCGATTTTCGAGAACCCCCAACTGCGCCTGATCCTTACACCTACACCCCAGTGTATTGGCATGTCTTGGCTGTGAAATTCGCCTTCGTCTTTATATTTGAGGTAAACTGTCTGACTCATCATGTTTACTTTTGTTCTCTCTATTCAGGTCCTGTATGTGTGTGCATACGCATTTTATGTCCTTTTAGAACGTGGCTTTGGCATTGACTGCCCTCATCTCCCGATGCATTCCTGACATGCCACAAAATCTCGTCATTATCTCACGTCATGAAGCGCGTGTTGTTAACGAACTTGTTCTTCAAACCGAGTTAAAGGAAGATAAAGATGAGAAGTCGTTTGAACCACCAACTCAACAACCCCCTATTGGTTTTAGTGGCATTGATGATTTCGAGGTGAGCTCTTTCCTTATACCTCGGACACTAGCTAAAATATGAGTCCAAGAAGAGGTCAAAGCAACTGCATTGTAGTCGGTGTTGTATTCCATTCCATGCTATTCCGTCTATCATACATGTGCGTTAACAGGAGCCACGGAATCGTAAACGTCGCGTTTTTTTTGGATGTAAGTTTGTTGGTGGTACACACGGATGACTAGTGGGAAATTCAAAAAAAAAAAAAGAAAATGTGACACAGTGTGCAGAGGTCTTACCATGCACTATTTGTTTCCCGCTACCAGTTTCTGCACCAACATCACCATGTCTCTTTTTCTCCTTGCCCCTATCCTTTCTCATTGGCTTCTCAATAATCACTTTTCAGGGAAAAATTGGCAGTTGTCGAGGCTTCTTTATGGAAGACTTAGCTTTATCTTCAAATGCCTAGCACCTTGCTATCCCTAACATCAGTGTAGATTCCTTCCCGTGTACATTGCTTTCCTGGATGGATCTATGTAGTGCTTTCACCGTCTCCCACATTCGCTGCCTCTTCCCCTGTTAATCGCGCGATTAGCTTCAATTTGCCAAGCTACCTCAGTTTTCTTTCTTAAATTATGTCACATTTCTTTGTTATCAAGATTCAACAAGTGGGCTTCGTTTTCGCTCTGGTTAGTTTCTACTCTTACACCGTGATTTGGCCTCTGCATTGCGACAATTCTCATGACCGAAGCATGCCCTGTTGATCACAGCACCATTCTATCGCCTTTATTGGTGTAATTGTTCCGACTGCATTTTCGGAATCTCCCTACATCATAAATAGTCCCCACAAACTGATTTAGCAATCACGAGACGTCAGTCTCCTCTACGGTTTCGACATTTCATCACTGTTTCATTGAGACCGACTGCTATTTCATTCTCTGCAATTCGTCATTCGCATTATGACTATATTCTGCACGCTTTTGCCTCATCACCACCACCATCGTTACTGATGTCCTATCTTTTCGCTTTTAAGCCTCCGAGGATGTAATTCACCACGGGGTTAGTTGCTGCACCAACCGTTAAAATATTGCATCTTGACCTGATTGCCAATGGCCCTACTGATTCCAAATGCTCTTCTTGATTATCTTTGTTCCATTTTTTGCATAAATATCTTTGTGCACAGGATAATGTACCCCCGACATGAAATGGGCAAGGTATGTGTGTTTGTAGTGTGCCTGTGTATGTGCATCCATCAACGCTTCATGGAATCTACGCATACCCATTGTTTCATTGCTATGCCCTATTTACACTGAGGTTCTATTGAGGCAATATGGAAGGCCTACTATAGTTTATCTGATCTAAATCGAGCTGATCAACAGTGCCACCGATGCAGCATTCGTCTACAAAAGGAGATAAGGGGGTGGAAAATCAGACCCCTGTCATATGTTGGGCATGAGCCATCATAAACAATCATTGAATCTGCTTTCTTATGAGTAATTAAGTAGTAAAAGCTACTTTCTAGCTATTGTTGACCACTATGCGTTCAGTCTAACGTGCTTTGAGTGTTGGTTTTGTATTCGATATGCTAAAGTCTCACTGTGTGTGATACCTCATCCTACCTAGCGATTGTAATTTTATCTGCCTCTTATCTCTTACCTCTAGCCTGAAGAACAGCTCTACACTGGAGTTCCCTTTTTGAAAAATTGACCGTCATCATCGTCGTTATTGAGTGCTTTCTGAACCTTTTCCCTTATCCGTCGTCGCTTTGGAGTATTGTTGTTTCTTTTGACCCTTTGGTGACAACTTTCGAGTAAAGCGAGAATTTGTTATGGCGACCAGTGCTTCTACTGCGACCGTTATTGGTAAACGGAATCACTCTTTCTTTCTCTTGTTACTTATTATTTTCTTGTGATAGTATCTCGTCACTGCGTTTGATATCGTTTGTGATAATATAGAATTTAATTTGGCGCTCTTCCAAATTCCAAATGGTGCACTAAACCTTCGGTATTTTATCCACCAACGGGATTAGACCGCGGGAGACAGTCTGGTGGTTTTGAGTCCTGGTGTGCTTTGCCGAGTATGGATAAATGTCCCAACCATGGTTTTTTGGCTGAAAATCAATCAGATCTGCAAAGGTCATGAATACTTATGGGTCAGCCAGTCTTAAGCTTCTTTTTTAGGCGTCTTGGGCGGAAACGCTACCAACGCGCACGTTCTCAATTCGCCACTCTACACAGCAGTGTTGAAAGGTTCTACTGCAAGTTGTAGACATTTTATAATATTCGGAACATGCTTTCCTTCAAATAGATGCATTTATTCACCTCGTTGTGGAACTTCCATGGCTAACGAGTTGCATTCAAGCACATGCATAAAGTAAAGGATATACATGAGGCAGGGTTGCATGGAAGAAATTGACATAGAAGTGGGGAAAACAGTCAAAAATACGAATTTGAACTAAAAAATCATTGAATGCCATGGAAGAGACATTAAAGACAGACTAGTGTTTGAGCTCATGGGATGAAGTAATTCACTTTGACTGATGACTGCAGGCATCGCTGTTGCGACAACTTCTGTGAACCACCCTGTCGTCCTCAATTCTTTGCCATATTTGAGCACGGCCTTTTGTGAACCGTCTCAAGGCTCTTTCGGACCCTTCTCTAAAGCACTGCCCAAGTCAAATTTCGTTACATGCTTCGCTCAAATGCATCTGTTACTAGGGCGCACTCCAAGGAGGAGAGCCTTGGACTTGAGGAAAAAAAGGAAAATACACTTGGATGGCGAGTCAACTTTGTCGAAGGTAGCAAGATCAAGTTCTGAACCTTATTTTTAAAGAAAAAAACGTTAGATGCTTTGCATGTAAGTGGAAACACTCGTGGTAACTCGTCGTTTTGGATGACGACAAATGATAGCCTTGACTAAGTACTGTTACATGGCCGTCTGGCAACCAAAGGCTCCCATTGGTGCTGTTCACCCCAGCAAATTTAAGAAGTATTTGCGCTCAAATTGCACAAATCCACGTGGCTCATCAAGTGTCCACCTTGCGAAGGGAGCCGTACCCGTGCAACAGGGTGATAGAGCATTATTTTGCATAGATGCTAACTGCTTCTGCTAGCTCCTTGGAATTAAATTTAAAAATACAATTTGACTGACTCACTTCTGTTACCTCAGTGCATAATGGTAGATGAACTCATACTCGTTTGCTAAATCGTTGAGCCACAGGTTTAAAAGACTACTAATTTCCTGACGCATGCTCACACTTGCTGGATTAGTGCTGCTGAATACGTAGCTGATTCCTTGACTCCATGCGTCAAGCTAGGAGTGGCAAAATGCGACTAAGTTTGGCTCAAGAGATCACAAAAGACGGATACATTCCCTTTCCTGACTCAATAGTCTTGAGGTTAGGGAGCTTGTCGCAATTGAAGGGGATTGAATTGCCACATTGGTAGACTGAATCGCTACGCAAATTAAAAAGGAAATCAAATACAAAGAACTGCAAAACTACAACCAGAAGCCATCATTCTTAATTTATTTAAGCAATAGGATGCTGAAAACATTAAACAAAATAAAACGCGAGTCGAGGATATGCCTCAAAGCCTCACCCACCCTGTCACAACCCTGAAGCCGCAAATATGTTTAGGGTAAATATGATCACTAATGAATGCACAGAACCTTCCAGGCTTTAGAGAACCCCGAAGCAAGCGCAAATGGTATGTTTTTAACCCAATAAGCGATCGAATCCTCAAATCATTTAGTCGTTCGGAGGACGGAAAATTCACAAACCAAAGCGTGCTCTCATGGCCATTTCATCGTCTAATGCCCAAACTGCAATGCCATAGTGGTCTTAGTAACCAAAAACTACTTCGATGGGATTTCTCAAATATAAATGCGTATTTTGCTTATGGTGCCCCTATGGGAATCCTTTTCATGTCTTCAGTTTCCTTATTTAACTGGCATCGTTTAAAGCGTCGTCCATACAACCTCATTGTGAGTCAGGTTTATGCAGCAGCAAAGAAAAGAGTTGACTCGTAAGAACAATGCAGCCAGACGCCCAATTTAATACGCCGAATGCAAGAGTTGACCTCATGTGTGTAAGTGGCCCAAATCTCAAGTGTTCAAAAGATCCTCAAGCTAATCTCAATAACACAACTCCAGTAAGTCAGAACACAGAGAACAAGACTTCAATTCTTTTGGCATCCAAATAACAGGATAGCGAAGACTCATTTAGCCAGTTTAGTGATGATCGAATCAGTTGTACTGCATGCGCCAGCCAAGACTTTCAAACTTCCACCCAAAACATCGGCGGCCATAGATTGGTCAATGGGTTGTGAGCCCTCAGCCGCGGCGCGCCAATCGGCAACGAGGTCAGCGACCTTGAGGGCGGATATGGAGGGTGAAATGACAGTAGAGGAGGTAACAAGGGGAACCCGAGAGATCAGAGCGCGACGGATAAGGGGTGCACAAATGGCTGACTTAAAGAGACCTAGTTCGATGAGCAGAGCGTCACGTAAGTCATCTAGAGTCACTGTTCCTCTTCCCACTTCCTCTCCCCTACTCTCCTTTTCAGTCGTCACGAGGCCGTTCCGGTAGAGGTAGTCCGACAGTAGATGATGCAGCTCTATCCGACTAGAAAGCGTCATGGAGTGAAACAGTAAGAAATTAATGTACTTTTTGCACTAACATGGTGAGGGAAAATAAACAGATCGCTGTCAAGCATTGATTTAAACGATTCAATTCAAGGCCCTCAAGTGCACTTTATAAGGTCACATTACAAAAATGGTGATTCTAAGCACTAAATTTTACTCTCACTGCTAGCTTCAGGCGCATGTCAATTGAACCCAACGGCTTTAACAAGATCACGGGATTCTTACATTGGCACTGCAAACCCTTTATCTGCCTTAATATTATTTCCAAGACAACATGTCAGCAAAATATGGCATTACTCATGAGAACAGCGTTGCAACCATCGACACTCAGCGTTTAAGTTACCAAAAAGAAGAACAACCTAGCAAGTTGGCTCGGAAATCGCATTCACAACGAAGGCCAAAAAAAAAGGAGAGCACGCTTACCAGGTCATAGCCTCAAATTCCAAACTTTTGGCAGCACTCCTACTTAATCGAACTCGACAGCCAGCAAATAAGCCTCGATTAACAATTATCCACTTCCCCAAGGTAATGGCGCATTGTAAAAGCCTTGACAAACGATCCTCCAACTCTGTCTCGTTTCCTCCCAATTTTGAAGTGAACTTCCAAGGATGAGTGATTGATAAAACCTGATCAAGGTCTTCCCCGTCCACTTCGTCCACGGATTGAACACTTTCAAGGTCAATGGATATAGGAAGGTATATCGCCCAATCAGCGATGGATATTTGAAGATGGATGTCTCCAAATGATTGTGGTGTTGGGATAACGACAAACAGGCACTGCTTTGTTGAATTAGACGTGACCGTGGAAGACATTCGAGGAAACATAGTCTCCAGATGAAGACTAGCGTTGAGTGGAACATCACGAAGAGAAATGGAAAGGATAAGAGAAGCATTAGGACCTAGAAAAAGACGGGTTCGAGTGATTTTCGTCGAAAACTCAGGAGTGTCAGCAAGAGTTTTGACGCGTAGACAAGGCAAACTGCCAAAAGGAGTGGTTAGAGTGTGCAGTCCTGCTGCGCGACTGTAAAAGATGAGACAGTGGTCAATCGAATAGGAGGTAGGAGAGGGGATGTAATAATTGCGATCACATGGCTGAAGTGAGAGGAGAATTTGATTAGCTACTGCGGCATCGCCAAAGCCCTTCTGAAATGAAGAGATCGAGTGAGAATAGATTAATAAATCACCCATTTACCAATATATGCATGAGTCATAACATCCAAGACCATTTAATTTCTAGGTAAGCACTAGCTGCTGAGAAACACATTTCAACAAACTGCATGAGTTCAGCAAGGGCAGAGTTGAGAAAAATGCGCTGAACTACAGATTAATTTACAAGGAACTTTTACAGCTAGGAAAACAATAACTATTCATAGAAAAGCACCCGAGTGAGAGGCGCATTAAGTATTTCCGGTCCTTAGAGTGACTAGATAGGAAACCATTAGACCAGCAGACATAGTGCAGACCTTAACTTAAACGAAGTCAGCTACTACAATACGTGCATCGGTCTAAAATTGATCTTGGTTATTGGTCATTTTAGGGAGACGAAATAATGGGGCCAACCTCAAGACAATGGTACAACAGTGAATATAAATCAAACTGTCAAATGACATGGTGCTGACCAGGTCGAGAGCCCGACCAACCAAGAAACACAAGAACAGTAAGCCAGTCGATGGTCTTCCCAAGGAAAGCAGTTTCATTAACTAAAAGACCATTAATTGGACAAATTTTAGACAGTACAAAGAACACTCAAGCAGGTCCCAGAGTAGAGATAATCGCAACTGTAAGCAAAACGGTAGAAACATTATAGACGGTTTAGGCGAAGGCACCCCATTAAACGAGAACACGGACATTACCTTAAATACCTGCATCTAGCAGTAGAATTTAGACTCACCTTTTAAAACCCTCATTTCAGTTGACAAAAATAATAAAAAAACCTCATCCATATTCATGATTTGATGAATTTCGAAGACAGACAACGGAAGAGGAGCAAAGTTGCCGTGGCCCCGGCCGTTAGATGTTTTGCACCGTTTAAATTCAAACAGTAAATAAGCTAGTGCCTCTATTATCACTGGAAGCTGATTACCTAGAATTCCTTAGGTGAAAAAAACAAAGTCTTATTTTAAGAACGTTCAATCGCCATTAAAAGGCTCTACATCCCCATACCTAAGTCCATCCAAAAGGGAGAAGGTGACAAAGTGTACGCAGGCCAAAGGTAGCCAGTGTTTCATGATCAAACACTATAAAAGTGCAGCAAAGGAGAACAGAAAAAGAATAAAATATTTTCCTTTTCACTAACCAAACACACGTGTGGCACATTAAAAAGGTGCTTGTACAAATAGTCAGTATTGAGGCCGGAGAAGCTAGAAGTTGCAGAGAAAAGAGCGGACGGTGGGCACAAACAGGTGAAAACGATTAATAAAGTCGTTGCGCCTCTTCCTCTCCGAAACTGTAGCAGCATTTGCCAAGGGGGTGAAAAGGTCAAGGAAGGCGTTCTGTAGGCGCTGTTGAGCGATCACGTCATCCGAACATCGAGCTACAGACTCATTGGCCACTTCCTGGAAGTTTTGCTGCAGAAAAAAGGAATTTAAATGTTTTGCGCGCAAGCTATATATGAGTTTTCAGAGCAAAACGAGGTTATGGATTAGCAGCGCTAATTTTTGGTACAGTGCTCTGCCAGGCCCATTTAGCCCAACACGTTAGTATAGTTGAAGCATTTTGCTTCGGGCCAGTGTAGAAATGCTGACCCTTGAGGTTACCATTTTTGAGCGAAATGGTGCACCTAAGCATTGTCACAGACAACGGTGAAGTCTAGAAAATCATGAAAGCACTCTTTCATCCAATTTCACCACCAGCCAAGAGTATGATGCTGTTATGGCATAGTGCTCGCAAAGTATAGAAAATTACGTTTCATATCCCCAACCGCCTGGTTGTTCAACTGTACCATGAAAATATTCCTTTATTCTGCTTCAGTAATGGCTATGCATCGTTGCACATTCTCCTCATTAAAGGGAATGTTAGCTTATGGAGAGGACCGCAATGACTGTGGACGTAAAATGAATCAACAGCGCGAAGATGTCTGAGGAGTCAAAACGTTCAAACACATATTCTACGGTCAAGCGACCGACCGGACGGGCACTGCATCACCACAGAGAACTGTACCCAAAGTGCTCACTGGCTGTGAGCACACAAGGAGTTGGCCCATTTCTACATAAAGGCCTCTGATTTTATCACCATTTTCTGATTGAAAAACACATTATCGCTTTATGTCATCTTGTCGAATATTAGGAGGGGCGATTCTGATTCTTTCAGCATTGCGTAATGACTCTCCAGTATCAATATTCTTGGAGAAAGTACCGAATTTGTTTGATTGCCTGTTTACCACCACCTCAGATTTGTTTTAATGCATGAAACACCATGCCACTACATGATTACGCTATTAGTAAACTATAGAACTATCAAGCTCAAACTAATTTCTACCGATCTATCTTCAATTCGGGCAATTAATGACTTTCAAAGCCTATAGTGTTAAAATGCAGGAATTCTATATACCACATACACTTAAACATCTGCCATAAGAAATAAAGGATTATTTCCGTGAAAAATAGTCCTACAATGTGCCAGATGGACGAATCGGCGTGGGAAAGCAAGCATCCGAATGGACCGGCATGGGTAGATGGTGGAAACAATCACATGGGTAAACGGGAAGGGAAAGACGGTCAAATTGAATAAAAAGAGGAATTATGTAAGGTGAACAGGTCTAAACATAAAGGGAGCTTAGCACTATATAAAGAGGCAGGGAGTGCAGGTAAACATAAGTTGATATAAAATGAAATCGGCAGACTAGGGTGGATGGAAGAACAAGACTTACTAAGTTAAGGGAAGCCAACGCGAAGATGCATCCCGAGAGGGAATCCTCCAATTGCGTCAGAAAAACATCGCGGGTGACAAGACCGAGGAGCTCACGCAGGAGGTCCTTTCCCAACGGCAGGTGAGTCATTATGGCCGTGGCCGCTGCGGCAGAGGACGGTTGAGAACCACGAGTTGCGCAGAATTCGGCCAAATAAGTTAATGCCTCCAGCCCACTGATGTTCACCGTGGTATCAGCTAAATTGAAAATGCCGTGACGAAGAAGACGCCCTAGTTCGGATAACGCCTCTGTCGACTTGTCCTTGGTAAGATGGAGGAAACCTTCAGGACGCAGTTCCAAAGCATAGGAAAGGAGGTGGTAGAAGCAGTTCGCCATTTCTGGAACCTATTTAGTAATGGGAGGTCAACTTCACCAAAGCAGTCGATAAATATACACCAGGAAAGGCAAATTAAAGTAGCCTGTGTTCTGAAAATGAAGATAAAAAATGCAGTGTACATTGAGCAATGAAAGAACGAGTAACAAGTTATTGGATAGCACAAGAGCGATGCAACGTCTAGGCTTATGAAAACATAACCAGAGGCATGCAACCAGTCTCAATGGATAAAGTAATCACTGACAGGTCAACAGTTATTAGCATGCCAGTTGAATAGATGGAAGAATCAGAATGAGATGCACAAATCAGTTGATAAGTTGAGAGGTGAGGTGGATTTTCAAATTTAAGACCACACACGCATCTGGAGGTCACAGCATTAAGCTTTTAAAGCAGGAGAGCAAGATCCCGAGGAGTACCGTATTAAGCACTTACTGCCAGCAGCGAATGAGTGAGAAGGGGTAGAAGAAACCCAACGCAGACGAGAGTAACATCGACTGTGGTCATCATCTCGACCTCATCACCGCTACCACCAGCTGAGTTTGATTCCAGTCCTGTTCCCATAACTCCGTAGAGGCGCAACTCAAACTCGTGGGCGAGGAAAAATTGGAGGAGGGAGAAGAGATGACGTAATTCAGTAACTTGTTCCTCGTCTGCGTCCTTCGAGATACTTTGTGCGGTGATTCTCCCTTTTGACAGAACAGTGAATAGTTTCAGAAGGATGTATGCCTTAATCGATAGCGGTTGATTGTGAAGACGTTGCTAAATGAGTTTTAAAAAAAATACTTGGTAAATAGGACCATGTAGAACAGGTTCCAATGCTAACTGCAGCCTAAGTGGGATGTTTCTCACCGATAAAAGGACTATCAGCCCATGACCGAAGTGAGGCAGTGAGGTGACGTTCAAAAGCGAAAGACAAACATTTAAATTTGATCATTTATGCTTGGAATTTTCCAACCTTCTAAAACAGGACCTCCGAACTGGTGGTAGAATGTTTACTCGTTACTAATATGCTATCTACCATTCAGCCTAACAAAACACTATTCCGGTTTCACTCGACTTCTAATGTCTTCAAGAACGAAATAAACATTAATCCCGCTGCTTACCAATCTTTATCAATAGTTTTATCACTCACTTGAATGTGTCTGAGCGTACTGGGCACAAAGTATGACAGTCAGAATGAAGAACTGAGTCGAGCCTGTGTGGGGTAAGGGAAAACGTAGTTGAAGTCCATCAGTGAGGCGAAAGACATTGTTCGCATCCTCAACAGTCAGGGTGACCGGACAGTTGGCCAAGTAAAGCAGACAGTTGTCAGCCACCTCTTCAAACAACATCAGCACCGCAACTGTCATCTCGTGGTACATGTGGTATTGCTATAACATAAAACTACAGCATTTAGAATGCATACAAGAAAGGAGCCATTCGAACTAGGTTTAAAGATCAACACGGATTCTGCTGTATTGTTCGAAAGTAGGACAGAAGAGGTTGTCCCCATTAACATCTTTTATCCCCTTAGGTAAAAAAGGGGAAAAAGCTGAATAATACAGTAAGCGAGAAAATCTGGATTCCAAAACTATAAAAAAACGGATGGAAAAAGTCAGCAATCCAAATCCACTCAAGCCTTCAAAAAACCAAGAAAGATAATAGACCCCATGAAGCCGGTAAAATGTACAAAGGTAGCAATCTTCAATTTTTTTGCAATGACTTACTTTTAAAAAATACGAGGAGCAGGTTTTGAGGATAGGAAGAATAATACTGGTCCACAGAAAGCCCACAAGGTCTGTATCACTGGAACCGGTAGCGACAGCAGCAGAGGAGCTGGAAGCCAGAGTCAAGGAGTTGCCCCCATGAGCAACGATCCATCGAAGGGCCCGCGCCAATCCCCTAAGAGCCGAGAGACCAGCGACCAGATGTGGTAGAAGGGCTGATTTTGGTACATGTCCACTCACACCTCCTTCTCTGTTCCGCCCATCGTCTACGATAATGAGCTCAGTTACAAGAGCACGCAGCTCCTCTACAAACTGGAAAGAAAAAAAGATATAAGTAGCTCTACTGAGCTAGGATTAGTATGTAAATACGAGACTGAGCAGGAATTGATGTAGATATGAAAGATGTACAACAACCGAACCCATAGAATTCATAGATTCGAAGGAAAACCCACAGATAAAACCACAACAATCGAAGGAGAGAATGACTGAAACATAAGTTAATATTTCATGGTTGCCAATGAGACACATTTTACGCTGCTGACTTCAGCGGTAATGAAAAGGAGGACTAGCAAACCTGATAGAAGAGGTCGCTGGAAGTAAGGTTGGCCCGATGTGTGCCACGAAGACACCAGCAGCCACGCATACAGGAGTCCACTAATTCAGCTAGTGTCTCTGTTTCTAGACAGGCCCAAGTTTCCACCGCAAAGACGAGGCGGCAGAGCTCTATCCACGACTGCGTAGGAGATGGTGTCGATGTTTCTTCTCGTTCCCTACAAAGTTGGAGGAGGAAACTAGAGCAAAAATGTACATCGCTGAGTTGTCTTAGCTCAAAATAATTAGAAGACCACTACCCGTCTCTCATGCGTTGTGAAGGAACCATAAATTGATACGGAACGCCTTGAAGGGAAAACATGAAACATGAACCTCTAGCCTCATTCCTTTGGAGAGCAAATCGAAATCTCAATCCAATTTCGTAGTGCATTGTACCACTGAGAGGTAATTTCAAAGGCAATAAAAAATTGGCTTCGAGATTCTGAAGTTGGCTGAATGACAAACTGCTGTGTAGGAGAGTAAAAGTGCAGCGTGCGTGGTGAGTAACAAATAAATGCTCCAGACATATGCATCCAAAAAAATGAGACAAAGAAATGACAACTCCAAAACAACTTCACTTGCATGCTTCTGCTTTGATAATCGGCCCATTTTAGAAACCCAAAAATCGAAAACGAAGCAAGGTTTGGTCATTAAAAGTCAGCACTTGACATCTACTTAAAAGCGGTTTCTGAGCGCTACAGCATTTCGTGTGTAAATTTGCTGATAAGACTTGATAAACGAATGAATGATGACGCTCACGATGATCACAACTCAGTGGTTTACTTGACTGAAGGTTACAGGATCGCATCGATTAATAAAACTTGTGGTGGTCAAAAACAGGCAGATGAGTACCAGCATTGCCAATTAAAGGATGTGAAAAAAAAGATTGGCCTGGACGAGTGAGAACCATTTATTGACTAGAAGATGAAGCAGAAGCGGATTGGATTTAACAGAGCCACAAACACATACGACTTGAGTAAAAAAATCCTTATGTCAAAAATGTCAATCATGCACTGGAAAGTAAGTGCGATTGTAAAGACTTTCGACTAAACAAAATGACGGGAGAACATATTTTAACTACTGGTCCACAAGATTACGGGCATATTCTAGGCTTCTGTGGTGTTAATGGACCCAGAATGTACCATTGCTAGAAATGATCCACATGATCATTGCCCTTCAAAATCACCTCATGGCCATATCAACCTGATAAAATTGTAGAATTGCATGCGCATGATGAATTTTGGGGGAGAAAAAAAAGCCAAAGTAAGAGATAAATCGTTTCGCAAAGCGACTGAAAAGCGTTCTCTTCAATGAATTTGGTGGAGCTGCGTCAACCTTCAGGATAGTTGGTTCCACGCTTTACTAAACCCGCTAATTCTGTAAAAAAACCATGCGCCTGAAATCAACCCTAAAACTTTCTTATAGTCAAAAGCTATTACAAAAAAATGCAAGAAACCACTGTTTCATAAAAGTTGTAACAACTACCGCCGAAGCTAGTTGATTACACCAACCTAGTGGGGTCGATGAAGAGAGAGTGACGAGCGATGGCGGCAAGAAGAGCGGAAGCAAGTGTGGCGACTTTGGGCTCACCCATCCACGTTGCCATAGCGAGGCGGGATGAAAGAGTCAGGGCTGTGGAGGCATGTGCAAGGAGTAGTTGGTGGTGGGCAGAACGGGCTGCTATTCCACCACTACCTGCGCTGTTAGTTGGTGGACAGAGTAAGGCCTTGAACAAAGTCACCTCGCCGTCGGATGCCGCTGTATCATCCTACAGGACAAATAATATGCACCGATGCAAAAAGAAAAAACTAAAACAGCATTTTTAGAGTAGAAGCAAAAAAACTATCTTAACCTACTAGTGCGCCGGCATGAAATGCACTCATTATGCGCTTAAATGTGCACGATACGGAACGGAATTTCCTGAGAAATCAAGTCCTGTATATAAAGACGTCAGTATTAGTACGATTATATCATAGTCAACAAGCTGAAGCGGATTTAATGTAAGGCTGGAAGGATGACTGAAGCTTAAGCGAAGTTTGATTATCCTAAATCGCCATGGCGTTTTGTCATAATTTGATCCGATAAAGTTACTGACATAAACCCCACTTATTTAAGAAATTGATCCAGTCACTTTGGGCTTAGTATCGCTAGGAGTCATGATTCATTAAAGAGTGAAAAACCATTTTTCTCTCCAAAAACATCAACTTCCTCTAACTTTATTTCAAATCTAAAAACTTCATGAATCAACGGAGTAACGAATTTGAGCATTACAACCCACCGGATCAAGATTTCCTTCAGGTCCAGCAAAATGGTTGTATGAGAAGTATGTGAGAGTGAGACGAACAAATACCCAGAGAGTGTCTTCAGTCAATTGGGCGGAGCCTATCCGACTGGATACCTGCATTCGTAACAGACGGAAGAGGGTACCGAAGATCCTAAGTGGAAGAAGCAGAAAAATGACAGTGTCCTTGCATCCAGTGTGCACCGTTTTCCCAGGATAACAAGTCTTCAGTGCATAACATCAGTCAGGCTGAAGATCTGAAGGGATGTGTCCGTGCTACACATTCCAATATGTTAAGTACTTTGTTAATTATCGTATTTTTTTCATATTGTGGCTCTACCAAAGAACCTATGTTAATTGCAATTTCGTACCCACGAAGTAGAGCATTGTTGCGGGTCATTATGTGGCCACTGTGGGGTTCTCCCATTCAAACCCCAAAATATTTTACCCTCAAGGAAAGCGAATTATTTTGAAGTGTCTTTAAATGCCGTACAGCCAAAGTGTTTGGAGTTAAATCCATTGCTGTTGCAAAGCTGCTCCTCAGAGGCAATACTTTAAGCAATTGAAAGACCGAGGAATAGCTCAGTCTGGTAAGACGGCAACAAACTAGCTACTAGAATAAAAAAATCCATCTGTTCGCCCAACTGAAACACTTTCAACATTTCTAATCAAAATCCTGCTTCAATGTATAAGCGCAAACTACAATTCGAATGACCATTTCCTTCAACTGAGCCTTGCACTCTGTAAGCTGTATATTTGAGGATGAAAGTCGTTTTTTTTTATTTCTTTGGCAAAAATAAGTTTGATAGGATAACCAACTAACCCAAAATTCCATCGGTTTTGATAGCTACCACTTTAATACCACCTAAGTGACATGATCCGGACGTACCGTAAAAGCGGTGGCACACCCTCGGTTTCGTTGCAAGGGATGTTCTCAGTGGCCTTGACAAGATAATCCCGACAATTTTCGAATTGTTCCAGTGTAAAGGAACGCGGACCCATAGACCATATCGCAAGCGGTATCTGGAAGACATTAAAGTTAACAAGTATACGTTTGGTTTATGAAATTATTTGGAGAACAAAGGCAAGAGACACTGTACGAATCATGTCCATGAAGGTGTACGACCTCGGTTTCATGCCCATTTGTACCGATGACTCCGAATGGAATGGGATGAGACTTTTGAACGGTGTTAAGGTTTTAAGTCAGTCGCATGTCAGCACTTCTGTAGCAATCTTAATTCGCAGCACAGTACTTATGTCTGATGACCCAATTTCCTGGCTTTCGACTCTCGACCGAAACAAAACCTACTGTGTGAAAAAATACGCGAGGCAAGGTTTTTGAAGACACTGGTAAGCACAATTTAGCTGCCAAAATTTTGCAATTTCGTGGAATGCGAACACACCCGGTGCTATCCGTTTTCCCACTTAGATCGACCAAGAAACAAATAATGCTTCTTGATACTAGAATGAACACAAAGACCTAGGACGACTACGTGAAAAAAAACAAATGCAAGTTTGGCTTATTGGAATGCATTTAAGCTCCTTGTGAGCCTAATAATTTCATTTTGCTCGGAGGTAATACAAAGAATGTTTAAAAATAATAAAACAAATAGGTAAGTAGAAAAGAACGGAAGAAAATAACAAAAATAGCTAGCGTGAGTTTTAACCATCCTAAAAAGAGCGATTTAACTATTAAACTATTAAACAAAAGCTTCGAAGAGCCATGAACGAATAACTGAGAAAAAGTAGATGTACGGAGAAGTTGGAATCCCAGGCGGGTTGAGACCCTTTCGAGGAGCCTGTTTTGGAGGGTCCGGTAACGAGGATGTGGCCAACAAAGAGGAGGAGCCAATGAAGGTCTTCAAGAAGTCCGAAGGAAGGCTGCGATGTAGCCTGTTGCGGAAGAAGCCAAACACGCTCCTCCAAGAGGCCCGCCAACACTCCCACAACTTCGGCCAGCGCCTCGCCTTCGGATGAACTGCTGAACTGGCCAATTGCGAACAAACTGTCCTGTGAGGCAGCAATAAATGAACTGGATTTCGTGAAAGCGAGTAGGAAAAAGTGCTAGGTTACTTAAAGCGAAGCTCACCCGTAAATCTGTCTACTAATACTTTCACCGAAATTTCCACATAATTCTCTAACAACCACCTTGGAGTCCACCTTCAACACTAAATCCATCCAGCCAAGATACAACTCATGAAAAGGGCAAGACATCATGCTATAAACTGATCGATTTAAGCTAAAAATAAAGGTTAGCCAACCTCATAGGCTATTTGGTCATCCTCGTCAATGTCGAGATCAACTTCTTCCTGATTGCCCTCAGTGACATCCTGAGTGGTCGAGTTATCCAAACGAAAACCGACAGGTGCAGCAAGATGGGAGCCGAAGTATACTCTTATGAGATCAAGCTGGTAGCGTTGAAAGTTGGTGCGAACCTGCCCACAGGTCTGTTTTAGAGCACAGACCATTTGATCTGCAGATGAATGCACAGGGAAGATGGTAATTTAACAAACGTTAGCGTTGCAATGAAAAGGGTTTAATTTCCAAACCCACAAAATACTGATTATGCCATGAATATGAGGTACTGCAATGCTTATTCAGGAGTACCTCGTGTTGACATCTGAAGAACATGCGTCTACCATAATGTAAGGGAGAGGAGAAATATGATCTTAAGAGTAGACCTATTTTAGCTAAAAAAAGTTCCGAAAACAAAAGCATAGCTTCTATTGGTAAAAAACGGAAACGCTATTCACCTCGCACTACCTTTTGCCTGAAAAGTTTCACCGGATTCGCATAACTACGACCCAGCTATATTTTAAAAATAACAAAACAAATGGCTTCCTAACTATGCTTTATCGCACCTGCTTCGGTCATCGACTTAGAATGGTAGACTTGTGAACAACCTATCGTGAGGAAATAAGTTGCACAAAGAAGGCCAACAATACTTTTACAAGCTCGAGTGATAAGCTCCTTGAGGTTCATGAAAGTACACTGCCCAAAGCCTAATGAGTAGTCAAGATTTCGTGATGCTACCCGATTAGAGAAGCAAACACAGACCGTCGCCAGTACCAGATATCGCTCATGTTTACTAGGTAGAAAGGATGAGGTACCCACCAAGAGCGGCAGAAGGCCCAGTGGTGTAGGAAAGGGCGGTGTTAGCTGCGTTAAAATGTGGCACCGCTCCACTGACGTCAGAAAGGTAGGCGAAGATACGTTCGCTTGCTTCATGGGCAGCACGCATCGTGTCGCCTAAATCCACCGTCGACTTCTTACCACTCGTCACCACACCCGCCTCGAGGAGAAGGCACTAAAAAAAGAGTAAAGAACCCTAGACCTTGTGAAGATTAATGACGCATTCTCATCGCCAAACCAAATAATGTAAGTGATGAAAACAACGTTAAATACTGAACTCACAAAAACCTAGAAAACAGCCCTATTAAAACTGCGCTTAATCCACCAAATACCTCTTGCTTACACACCACGTAGTCAGATTCCCTTCATCTTGAAAAAAAAAACTTAATACCTCTTAGTACTCTGAATGCTCAGACTTGGCAGCTTTTGCTTCGACCAGGAGTTGAGATCTAAGAAATCATGTACCTTGGTATGACTGCTGTACTATGGACTGAGATCCTCTGAAACCTTGACCCAGCGCAAAATTCCATCTCATCACTGATCCTTTCTGCACTTGGAGTAATCAGCATGGGCAGATGAATGCGGAGTCGGAGTGCACACTTGTGATGCTTAAAGCCTTTGGGTTATCACTGCAGCCTGTTGATAATATGCACGCAATTTCGCCCACCACGGAGATTGGCTGTGTGCATGGCTTTTAGTATTTCAAGAATGTGGACAGTGATTGTAGGTGAATGGCAAGATACACTTTAAGTGTGTACGGGATAATTCTATTGGACAACAAAGAAGGATGCTGAAAGAGAAACTCCAGCTCTAGTTGAACGCCAATTGGATTTTTCACATAGGCGCTGTATGGAATGAAGTAAAATTTGCAGGACTGCAGACCTCAAATAACAGCTCACAAGATACACTCCATCTCCTCTTAAACTTCAATAAACTGGAAATTGATCCATTTAGGACTTTCAATGTGGTCCAACAAAAGTTCGTAAAAATAGCCTGAATTTCTCACAAGAACCGCCTTTCAAAAGGATACGATAGTAACCTCATACTGTTAACAACAGCTTGAAAAAGATCAAAGAAAGTAAACATGACCGGAGTCTGAACAAAAGGCAGTTTGTAGCAAACTCACAATACGAAAACAGAAGAGTGCTAAAAGCAAACACTGATCAAACCCTGTCGACATATCTCAGCTTTTACCACTGTCCAAAAGACTGCATAAAAAATCCACCACATAATCAAATTCAGAAAACCAAAACCGAATTTCACAATAATGAGCTGTTTAAATTGCCGAAAAACATCATTGTAAAAGAGAGAACTGTAAGACGAAGCCGTACCTCAAAAAGAATGGTTTTAACCAGTCCCAAAAAGGCATTAACAGCACTGAGATAGAAGACAAGACGCGCTAGTACTGCTTCTTGACTTCCCGGAGCATCGGACGCCGGCCATCCATTCCCCATAGCAAAGCGCTCCACTACTCCGCACACCTCCACCAGACGTCGCAACAAATTCACGGTTAATTCGGCCAACAGGGGCAGCTCATAGGATAAAAAGCCACCCGCCGCACCGTCCGGGATGGCAGGAGCAAGGGTTGCAAAAGCAGCCTCAACTTCAGCTGTGCGCGGATAGAACGAAGCAAAATCACCAACATCATTGATTTGAACCTGTAGGGAGGTGATCAGCTCAGTAGGAGAAGGAAGAAGAAGGGCGCTCACACCAGCCAGAGGATGGTGGTGAGGCGAAACGAGGACATGGGCTAAGCCGCTCATACAGATGGAGGCATGCTCGGCTAGTGGACAAGGCGTGGTAGTAGGGGTGCAACCAACATTGTGGGTATTGGCCACCAGAGGACCATTTAGGGACACCAGCGCCACGATGGAAGACAAAATTCGGGTGCAATAAGTAGAGATTGATCGGAGGCGAAAATGCAGCTGCAAGAAAAGAACAAAGTTTGCACACTTTAAATATACGCTTGACGAATCCCAAATCAACTTTGGTCAAAGACATAGGGCGACTTTCTACAACCCAAAAAACAGTTAAGCTTAATAGACATCGCAAACGAGCCCCACCAATCTTAGTGCTAGTACAACGGCAACAGTGGCATGAGTAATGGGTAATGGCAAAAGTTAAGATCTTCATTTTTTCTATGAACAGTAATTTTAGAATTTCTACCGCTGTGTCCAGCGCCACTTTTCGCCAGGTATATCTGTGGAGAACAAGAGATTGGAGTACCTTCCATACCACCCTTATAATAATACAACTGGTTCACTAGCAGCAGAACGATTCCCTTAAGTGGAGCTCATCGACCTAAGCCCTTACCAGTATTTTAGATTAACCATTTAGCAAAATATTAACAAGACTGTAAACCTCTCCAAGAATATCAGAACCATTCAAACCACCTTACTGGTTCCCAAGATAACTCCTCAATAATGACCTGCCTGTGTTGGCTGTTGCGAAGACGGAGCATTAGTGAAACAAAAAAAAAATGCACATTAGACCATGCAACTTCCATGCCGTTCTCCTAGCGTCTCTCAGGCTATCCCAATTCCGCAAATGTTGTTTCTCATTCAGCAACAAAGGCCATGGGCCAAAAACGATCATAACTAGCTTCATCTGCGCAATGCCATGAAAATTAAAATTCATGAACTTACGGATGGTTGAAGGCATCTACACAAGGTTGCAAAGTACGAACAAAAGACCAACCTTCAAGAAGAGAGAGAGGGTAGCAGAGATCGCGTCGACACCGACGACACAGGCCCAACTTTCATTTGGACGGAAATCCGAACTCCTTCTCGCCACTGGCCGCAGACAAGTAAAGTCAACAACTGCACAGGAAAGAAGAAGGCAATAAGGTGATTTTAGATGAGGCAAGACAATGGAACCTTGACCATAATTGACGTGTAAAAGTGTAATCCGGACAATATTTGATTCTCGACATGAGCAAGGAATTAAGTCAAGACAGAGATCATCAAACTTTGCTGTCCAAACCAGAGAAACGGGTTTAGGTGTCACGGTGAGACCTTCCCTGAGGGTGTAAAAAAATAAGCATTTCTTGGTAAAAGTCCACATAGCTGTAGCGTATAATCGCCTCTAAGCTGAATTACCAACGCAGAGTTCCAGTAACCAGAAAGGTAGGGCGAGCACCAAAGTTAGCATAAAAATAAGAAAATCAGTTAAATGAGCTGCACTTTCTATGACTTTTGGTCCCACACTACGCCAGTAACTTACTATGTTCGGGAAGAAAATTCCACGAAGTGATGCTCTCAAGACAATGTACCAAACGGTAAGTGGTTTCATCATTTTCCGCATTCTCTGCCGGCCAATCACGGGAACGAAGGAGACTCTCCACCAAGCGAAGGAGGAGTTGAAAGATTTGAAGTAATTCAAAGCCCTGAATTGACAGCATCAGTAGCAGTAGTGCAAACAAGAGCGTTTGCTATGCGACATGTAAATAAACGGACCACCATTACCTGAAATCTGGCTTGCATATGAACATGAGCCTCTAGTGGCAGATTAAGACCAGCCGCATCATTGTCTACGTTGCTCATTTCGTCCAGGAATGCAGAAAGTATTGCCAGCCCAAAGGACAGACGAGGGAACTCTTCCTAGAAGAATGAAAAGGAGTCAGAAAGGGTGCACAGACGCATGAACTGGAACAGAGAGAGAAGCTTCACCTGGTAAGAAGAAGAGAAGGGTATTGGAGTGAGGAGATTGCTGAGTTCTTGCAGAAAAAAGGTAACTAGGGGACTAGGAGGAGCAGGATTCTCAAAAGACGGTGAAATTAGGGTTGGAACCGCATGACGTAAGTGTGGTGGGCTCCTGGCGAGACTGCATTGTGCTTCAGCCGCTGCAGCTCTTTTTACTATGGATGCTACGGAACTCAGGATGCCCTGCCGAGCAAATGACGCAACCTAGTGCGAAAAAAACAAAGACCGATTTAGGGATCAAAACAACAGACTCATGCAGAACAAACATCTCATAAAACTCACAAGTCTCTAAAAATCGCAGGTATTATGTTTAACAGCGACAGGCTATTGGTTCAGAAATTAACCGTGTGCGTGGCTTCTAGGACCACGCGGTGAAATAATCTCAACAAAATTAACAAATAGACAGGATGGATCGAAATCACACCTAACGCGCTAACAATGAGGCATGATATTATTGATTCATTAAATTTTCCTTTATTTAAACGAAATGCCTGCCTCATTTCCACACGAGGCTACCCACTGAAGTAGGTAGCATAGTAGTTGGTAAGGCATGGACTCAGCCATGTTAGCACCGCCCAAATGGCCACTTTCTGGGCATAAAACTGTGTTCCATTCTCTAATAACAGCATTTGAGAGGCACTTCCCCACTTCGTAAAGCACTTGAGAATTGCGCGATGTACCTGATGAACAGTAAAAGAAAGCATTTCGGAGAAGTCCAAACGTAAAAGCTGAAAATAAGATACATAACCTGGACACAAAATGTTATGAAGCGAACATAACCAAATTATAACATTGAGAAGCTAACTCATCATAATGAATTGCAAGATAAACCCAGTGCACTTCGCTGCAGCAATATCCTCTTAAACACAAAAACCAACGTTCAGCAGAAAGAAAGTGGAATCAAATCACTATTGCGAAAATCATAAAGGAAACACACTGAGTATATGTTTGCATAATTCATAGGGATGTGCTGTGCTGCGAAATCGGAGAACCACTTCTTCACATTTTTTGCGCTCTGATGCAGAGACAGGGGTCTAAAAAGTCAATTCAGGATCGAACACGGTACGTTAAGTTTATTAATGGCAGTTTCCAGTACTTCATAAAGTGAATCCATTAATAACGTGGACGACGATAATGCGTGAACGGACTCATCCAACCATCATTCACCAATTTAGCTAAAGAGGGCGCGCGATCATCATCACAATAAGAAGGCAAAACACACGTTTATGATTATCACAAAATTATAAAATCAGATAGATTTACATAATTTATATTGAGCCTAATAACGTGAAATTTGCATTGATCCTAAGAAAAAAGCCTAAGACTTCAGCGTCTTTAATGCGCACCATGCCTGATGTAGGGACGTCTCTGGAGGTTACAACAAACTCAAGCTAAAAAAAACTTTGGTGCTACCAGGCATATCTAAAAAATTTATTAAATTGTTGATGGTTGCGGCATCGAATAGGTTTTCGCAAATCTAAGATCCAGTATAGATCCACTCTGAGTTTGGGTTCATTGCAAGATTTTTTCACAACCAATTTTTGTTTGGAATAAATAAAATTTTAGCTTGAACATTGCCAATTGTTTCTTAAAATAAGCTGACACTTGCTCAGTAATTCCAAATGTTTTCCGTCCGCCTAGGTTAGTGGATAGTTGTAGTGGTGAACAGTTCGGGTGAGTTTATTTGTCTTTTAAGGCAAAGTAATGCTTAACTCTCGGGGGCGCTTGTGTGTATAACAACAATTTAGTTCTTATGTCTTGGATCTGTCCACCTTGTCAGATTCTCGAGTTGTTTATAATGCTTATGCGACTTGATTCTTTGAAGTTCTAAGAATGTTTTCCTGTGCAAGACATATTCTCTTCACTTACTTTATGTAGTTGTTGAAACTACGCACTCCGTAATGTTCTATGGCTTTGGTTTCATTTTCTGCCCTGCCCTGATTTCAGAGCGACCATGGCTACATACTTCGACCTTTGTAGAGTGCAAGGCCTTTGTTCCTGCAACCGTAGTTGCCCCTTATCCCAACTCTACTTTTGTCGACACTGTTATGATGTCAGATGCGGCAACTGCGTCTCACATGAAGTACGGTCTTCTTTATTTAATGCTTTTTTTCCTTCTCGAAATTTTAACAGTTTTCAACCCACCTAGGTGGATTCGCATTACTGTCCCAATTGTTTGGAAAATATGACCAGTGCAGAGGCAAAGATGCGCAAACACCGTTGTGGGAATTGCTTTGATTGCCCTAGTTGTGGTCACACTCTTTCAACCCGCGGCACTCTCGCTCTGGCTCCAGCCACCGGTGCGGGTTCTGCCGGATCCACCTCCGGTGATTCGCCATTGACTGCACAAAAGACCTATTACCTCTTCTGTGGGTTTTGTCGTTGGACGACTCGTGAGAGCGGCATTCCTGATCAAAAGTCTCCAGGTGGATGGAATGAAACATCTAATCCCCACGCTGACCGAGTACGTTGATCGATTGTGGCGGGGTAATCCGTTGCCTTCTCTTGCTACTATCTACTGCTCATGTATGGAGCGGAAGCATGCTTTTGGCGGTCACCTTGCCGGTCCGTTATCGAGTTTTTGACACCACCTCAAGTCTATTTTTTTGAAAATACTTAATCTTTAGCAATCCTAGCAGAATATTGACGACTCTAGGAACTGATAGTATCCTTCTGTAGTTGATGTCCCTTATGATAGAATTGCACTTGCTAGGGACCTAGTGCACGTTCTAAAGGAACAGTGTTTGGTTCCCTGTCGTTGAAAACAAGGAACAAGCATGAGTAATGCAACACTTCCTTTTTGGAAGCAGCTACATTGATGCTCTCTTTGTTCGTCCAATTTTTGTTTACAAAATAGCAGAATTTACTCTCGGATTTGTTCGCTTTGTGCTCGAGGTTGAACTTAGTCTTACTTCATTCTAGATTGAAACACTGATAACCGAGTATCGTCACCTAGCTGCCAAGGAGAAAACTGAACGCGAACGCACAAAATATAAGAAAAGAACATATATTCTTTCACTAGTACGTTCAGTTTTGTTACTGTTTCTTGCACTGATCTTTAAGTTGGTCGCTAATGCGTAAATGTAGCCTATTCAAACAGGAATGGTGGGGTTCAACTGAGTGAAAAGAATCTTACTTGGTCGTTTTCCAAAACAGTCGCCAATATGCACAAAACATTTTCTCTTTTAAACTGCTAAATAGATTCAATTGGAGGTAAGTTCGTCTCCTGTGTATTCTCACTTGGTACACCATAAAGATATTGTAATCCATCCCCTATGCCTTGCTAACTGAGCATGCGAAATTGATTATCCGTCTGTCAGTCTGTGATTGGCACGCCTGGTCAGTCTTCCACGTACATTCCACGTACAGCGTTTTACTCTTTTGTTCTTGTTTCCTTTACAGGAAAAATTCCCTGTTCTCACACCCCGTTTTCGTCGCCGCTATTCCAATTGGGGATCATATGGGTTTGTTACCTCCTTATTGGCTCACCTAGATGCTTTCATATGGTTTCCATCAAAAAAGCTTTCTGCTTGCTAAGGCTCTATGAAACCGGAAATGGCAATGAATGAGACAGTGTCGTCATTCTGGGTAGTCGGTTTCCCGTTAGGATTTGCGGACGATTTTGGATGTAGGTTACTTCTTATTTCAGCCGTGAAACGAATTCTGGTCCCGAGATTAAAATTTCGGCTGCAGAGGCCCAATCGATTACTGAAAGTTTCAATGTCGATGAGTTAGTCAACAAGCCGTTCGCTTTTGAGATGGGTGAGGATTTTTTTTGTTTTCTCGAAACTGACACTTGGTCATTCTGGTTTGTATGCAGTAACTAGTATTGTCTCACTTGGTAATGCAATGTAGCTGCCTCTGGATTAATGCCCAAAAGGATTTATGTTATGCCATCAGTGTCCCTTAGAGGGTAGATATGCAAAAAAATTAGTAGAGCGCAAATCTACTTTTCCTAGCTGGCACAAAGTCTCGCCGATAGTGAACTTAGATGAATGCCGGCGCAGTATTGCAGGCTTTGTTTCGTTTTTGTTAATTCTGTTTAGGAACGGACCATATGTGTCCCCTTTTAGTTCTCCACGAGATGCTTATTCTGCATCACTCTTGAAGTTTGTCGATTTATTCTTTTGATAGTTAGAGATGACTTTCCAAATCCCTGGGACCCATTAGTCACGTGCGTGAGGAACCTTCTCTATTAAAGATCTATTTGAGGGTGCCATTTTTGAAGTTGTGCGTTTAGCGGATTTTCTATGCAAGGCACAGTTGCTCTTCTGAAGGACACCTTTGATACATATAATAATGACAATAGCAACTCTCGCCTTCAGAGCGATGGGCAAATGTGTGAATACTGCTTTGTAAACGTAATCACAAAATCAACAAGGTTGTTGAACATGGTAAAACATGGTTATTGAGGAACACAACGTTTCGGGGTGTTTTTTTTTGTAAAAAACCTAATTCGAGATCAGCAATGTCAGCAACTTCGTCGTTGCCCTAGAGGCTATTGTTTGCATAAAGTAAAACAGATTTTAGAAATTGAACCTCAAGTATGCTCCATTGGCGTTGTATTGTTGGCGCGGTTTTCTCTATCCAAATTTGTACTGTGTGCACGGTAGGCTTTTATCTAAAAACAGAAAAAGACATTTGAGAATGGAAGACAAAAGTAACGCTATGCGGTGGCATGTTGGAACGGTGGGACAGGTGGGCTGTGTTTAGTCTATGTTCCCCTGGAGTCTCGATAGTAAGTCCTCCTTTTCAGATTTCATGCCCATTCGTCTTTGCCAAAGGGGACTGGGTTCGCATCTTTCACTTATTACAAAAAGACGGATTGCTATTCCTCCACTTATCTTGTAAATCTCCAATTGTTTATTAGTGAATTCTGTCATGTTTGTAATACTTGGTGTGGGCGAAGTGAATAAAGCGCAGACAATCTCTCTGCTTTTCAGCGACCTCTGCATTGCAACGTCACATGGCACCTGCGTTGCAACCGACAGAGACGCGGAATTTAGAACCGCGCCACAAAGCACTGGCAGTGAAACGTTCTCTTCGTTGTAAAAAGTGTGAACACACTCTGAGCAAGGCTGACTTCAATCCAAGTTATACCAAATTTCGCATTAACCTCAGCGCCGTATGCCACGTGCCCGATCTGCACTTCGCTTTACCGCCCTCAGCCCTTGCTGATCCCGCCGACAGTACCGATCGAAATCGTGTCACTCCGCTACCTCTACCCACCCTCGGCTTTAACAGTGTACCAGCCTCGAGTGAACTTCGGGTCAAGGGGTTCTCAATGGGCAAAGCATCCAATGTGGTTCTAATAGTCTCGAATCCTGCACATCGTGTTACTACTGTACGTTTGCGGCAACTGACTGCTGAGGAAGAAAGCGTAAAACTTGCCGAGTTTTTCGCCAAGAATGGGAACGTTTTTGGTTCCGGCAACACTTACTCCACTGTGAAGGTGTGTTTACTTTCCTTTTGGGTTACTTCAAGTCACTGATTGCGGCAGCATTGAGTATGAGTGTGTGGGTGTGATTTTAGTTGGACCTCCCTGTGTGTGGAATCAGACTTGCGGCAAAGAGTGATGCCAGTGAGTACAACGATCTGATGACGACTGAGAGCACGAATGAGTTCAAGGATGATGATCCCAAGTACGTATTGTTGTGTATGTTTGACTTTTTAGCTACTGATAAACTTTTACGAGAGTCTACGTCTTTAACACTTAATGTTTGTCGGCATCTTATCTGTCAACATGGATAGAATTTACATATTTTTCTGCAGAGTGATAGCCTACCGACAGGGCCACAAAGTGGGCATAAACACGGGTCTCACGATGCTAACCTCTGGAGGCGTTCTGCGCGCAGCGGTGGTGATGACTTTTGATTATTTGAATACCACCACTGCTGCAGCCTCAAGTGTGCTATCGGCCGAACAGAGGGCGGCCACTATGAGCGCGGTTTTGGCCGCTTCAGGCATCAAGGAGGTGGGTGATGACCCTATCGTGTCTGCGATAGGAAAAGGGATGGAAGAGGAAGGGGACAAACGGGATGTTGATTTACTCTTTCTTCTTGATTTTGGGACGTGTTGAAGTAGGCACTTGTCAGTGCCTTTTCTATCTTTGATGCTCCATCTATCATCTTTCTTTGGTCTACTAATTTCGCGCCTTCGCACTTTTTCTCAAAATTGCTGTCCTCCGATTATCAGATTTTGGTGGTAATTTGAAGATGTCTCATTCATACATGTCTGAGAGTTCGGTGACTCATAAGTTAACGTAAACCACTGGAATACAACTTTGATAGTACCTGACGTTGCCGGGTGGTTTATTCGAACTGTTAATGAAATAGGAATTTCGTTCCACTAATAGGGAGATGGATTGCGATAGTTTGTAAGGGGTCAGTGAGATAACTTTGTTGCACGATGTCGTTCAAAACCGTCGCTTCCACTGCCTTAGCACAAGGCGGGGTAGCCTCATGCGTTCCTGTGAGAACTTACCAACTGGTTTGTTAGTCGACTTTTGTGCTAGAATACGATTAGGGGTCGGAGCTAGGTTGCACTACTGTGAGACTGGTGATGCGGAATTGAAGCAGAGCGTCATATGCTTCTATTATGATAGTAATCAAAATCCATGATCTTTCTGAGTAGTGATGGGTGTTTTGATTTGAAGGAATCATTACTGTCGAGAGTGCTGATCCACGCCATCGGTGTGGTCGTCGAGGCAGCTACCACACACGAACAGGATGGAATTCCTTTTCATTTTAATCGAGCTGGGTATTCATTGTGGCCGCAGTTAATGAAAACTGTTGGATTTTAGGTGCACCCGACCTAGCCTTTCACTGAATTTTGAAAAGTGGGATACGAATATTCTAGTTCAGTGGTCATGGAGCTACCTAAGTGAGCTTGGTAATAATCACGTAAATCTTAAATGTAACCTACTTGTAACAATTATACGGTGGTCACTTCGTTTGGAACTACGGGAGCTTAGCGAAATAATGATTTCCCATGTCTTCAATGGCGTCCAAACTTGGGCTATTGGACATTTACGAAATCAAATGACCTCAAGATCATGCTCGATAAATCCATCCCCAGTTTGTGCGTAAATATTACATCACTGTCTTTTTGCTATGCTTCCTTTCACTTGTATTGAAACCTCAGAGACAACAAGGTTGCGACATCATTAGCGGGTGTTGTGTACACAGCTGTGCAAGTAACTTACCTTAAGGATAAGTTGATTCAGTCAAACATGTGACGAAGCGTGTTCAAATTTTAATAGCAAAAGGAAAATACTATTCTGAGTTTCGGAATCCGATGTCGATGCAGTTTGACACCTGTGTTAGTGAGTGGCAAATCACTCGGTTGCCAAACTTGAAGTACGCAAAAGAATCTAATGCTCAATTACGAAGGAATACACTGCTTAAGATCTGAAAGGACATGGAAATGTGGTGGTTGTCCGCCACACGACTGCTCATTTAGCTACTACCTTCAACGACGCGTCTCGCTAATCGACGTCTCTTAGACAGTTACAAGGCGTAGCGCTACCAAATGCATTCCAATGAACCGGCAATCGCGCTCTCTCGACTATCTTGACGCCTCCTCTGGAAGAACACATTTCTTATTCTATTACTGCAGCTCTTCTATGAGTAGCTAAATGCTAACTGCATTTTCTACGGCACTCCTATAACATACAAAAGCAGGAATAAACCCATGGTAAAAAAATAAAGGAGCTGCTTGAAGTGCAATTTTACCTCGATTTCCAACCTGATATTTCGAAATGTCGCATGTTTTGTGCATTAGAAAAGGATGTAGCAACAGTTGACCAACTGGATTTAAGAGCGTCAATGCAGTAAAAAGGGATCGTTAACCCGTACGCTCATACGCGCTTTGTTATTATGTTGTATCCTTTCGCTTGCCAATTTGTAAACTATCAAAGGTAAATTAGAAGCTAGTAGCAACACAGCGACACGACAGGAATTCAGGTAAGAAGTGTTCAAACCGAGTGATTAAAAGGACCCCAACCATTTAGGTTGCGAATGTTGTCAGAATATTTTAATGATTGATTAAAAAGTTACAAAACTGCAATGGCATATAAGTTTAAAGGGGGAGTGTATTATGAGGATACCACAAAAACAAAGGCTGGAAACTGGCAAAAGGCATTAATCCAGTGAATTAGGTTGTAGCGTCCCGAGGCCTCCCATCGAGGGGAAGAAGGCAGTAAGTAAAGCCGGATATAAACGAATTTCAAAGAGGACAAAGCAAATGGTCCTGAGCATGGCCCGATGGCCAGCCTACGAGTGCAAGGACCAGACAAATCCTAGTGACCGTCAAACATCAGGCGGTTACAAATACAAAGCATTACATATGTTGGTTTTTTTTCAAAATAGGAACAATGAATGACAATAGGAACTGATAATGATTATGGAAATAGTGTGGTAAACATTAAGTAAGGTGCGTGTACACTTGCTACTGTAATGGAATGTCTTAACAGCGCAAAATATGCACACCATTTTTTCTCAAAAAATATACGCACGAGCGGACACGCAAAGCAGCTTAGCGTTCAGCATCGACATGCAGTTAAAAGTAATAGCAATACGAAAACGCTTTGCTATAATCACGTCACGTACGCGGTCACAATCTTAAATGAAAAAAGAAATGTATCTTAAGGTTTTAAATCAAGTTCACACATCCTTTCACTGCATTAAGTGGACGACTAGGCCTTCCGATTACCCACAAAATCCTCTAGGATTTCGATTACATGGTATAATGCTGATGAAGTAACTGAAATTGCTCTTGTCTTGCAGCGACATGCTGACGAAGATGTGCGCGTCTTAAAAAAGACTTGTCACAGTCAATTCACAGATGCCGCTTAAATGACGAAGCAGAAACAACGGATACACTTCATGGCTAAAAGCTAAAACTTGAGAGAATTACTACTGCCTGCTGCATAACCTATTCCTTCATGGGAAGGATATAATTCGAAACGAGGACCGCCTTATAACTCTATCAGCCCAAAACGATTTTCACCTTCTAACTTTCTGATCTTAATCTCAGTGTTTGAATCATGGGCAGTATCCACGAGGTCAGTCACCGAAGCTACACACCCCTCGCCACTACCACCGTCATAGGTCGAACCATTAGAGTTGTGCCTTTAGAGAAGACATGGATACTTTTAGGTGTTGAAAAATCTCTTCATCACTCTTTGATGCCCCAATAGCCAGTGTCAACCAATCATCTCTTGGCACAGTAAACCCTAAATTCAACTTTGATTCCTCTTACTAACGTGAGGTCCGTAAACATTAAACCAGCTTTGCCTTAAATAGTAATTTAAAAAGATAAGTGCCCATAGGCCTTCATGCCATATATGCTGTCTTTTCTTTCCTCTTATTTTAAACGTCCTCATTCCAACCCAATTTGAAATTGATGCATTCTAAGCTTACATGTTGGAATACGATTAACCCAATACACGCTAATTGAACCAAGCCGTACCTTCATTTATGCAATGGTGTGCGGATGCGTATGCAAGTTCTGGCGTTCACTCTGTATTGCCTTTGCAACATTTAGAACAATAAAGGGAATCAGATTGTTTGCATTGGAACATGCATATATCTTTGTCTTTGCATCGGAGTGGTCTAGAGATTCCTTCCTCTTAAACCATTCCTTGCATCCGGAACTTGGAAGTAGGCTTAGTGGAGTGGCCATTTGGGTGCTTCTCCAAAAATGCCTTCCGAGGGCGCTCTTTATTCCAATCAGTGCATGTTTGAGCATCCGAGAGTTCTGTAAAAATAAGCGCCAGTGTGGAGGACCATTTGGCAGGAATTCTTGATTGGATTTTAAGTTTTACTGCAAACCCTGTGAAGGAGAGATGCACGATAATACCAAATGTTCTTGGCTCAAGTATAGCCAAGTTTTCACTCCTGCTTTAGACGTCATGTTGTTTTGATTGTGTAAGCTCCATAATCACCACTGATATGGATAGAAATAAAATATGAAAGTTCACGCACCTTATCACCTCAATATGCAAACACTTCGTAACCAGGAGTGATGCGTTAAAAGTTTCACGTCAGCTTTAAGAGGACATTGCTTCGCATGTCTGACAAGAATCTTCTCCTCTGGACTGTGTTTCAACCAAATTTTGCTCCCTTTCATTAAAAAGCTAAAAAAGATGAATGTTTAGCGAATACAAAATCCTGAATATAGTGGAAACCGCACAGTAGACGCAAATGTTATCAATGCTTTAGCAAAACTTCTAGCTTTTTGTCAGTTGTATGAAATGACTAACAAACTCGCAGAAGTGCACGATTATGAGAGAAAATAATTTGCACTAGATACGAATTTTTAAAATGAACTCATCCGTGTTTAAAACATACTTTTAAGCAGTTAGAATGTATGGGATAGGATGCATCTACGAGGTGGGTTTTGGTGCAGTCGCATCCAAAGTAAGATCTCTGAAAGCTCGAGGGGATAATTTACTGTGAATTTAGTCAAACTCGTAAAGTTCAGACAACGTGTACTCATGGAGGTCTTTAAATTACATGACTGATTTACCCTTTGAATGTACTTGACCTCATCAATGATGTTTTGATTGCCACAAAGCGCGATGTTGAGTAAACCTTTTGGGTTCTTCATTTGTCAAGCCTTTCAAAGGAACGCTTTCGCCAACACGAAGGTCCAATGACCGAACCAATAGGGATTTTAATTTCTGTCTAAGCATTTAGTTCAGCACCTCTGATAGTCAACAGATCTACATGAATGAAAGGCTGTGACGCGGATATTTTGCACCACGGTCGCAGTCCTTGATTTTCCCAGATTTCATTGCATCACACTCCAGCTATGTAGCCGATAGAACTCACATGTTTGGGTGTGTGAGACAAAGACCAAGGCAAAAATTGTTACATTTGTATCAGACTAAAATGTCCACAAAATCCTTTATCCTCCACAAGGTAAATAGGTGACTTGTCCCAACAATCGTAGCTAATTAACGCCTTAAGTCGTGCCTTTCTGTACTAGTATTTGGGTTCACCTTGCATTAACTGGTAGATGTCAGCTTTAGCTAATTCGATGAAATGAAAATTCTGATACTGGGAAGGAAAAGTT